TGACGTTACAGACTACACTTGAAGTCAAATGGATGACAGACCACAGTAATCTCCATACAATGCTCCATGCTTGACTTTCCTGTAACTTTCTGACAGATAACTCAATTCAATGAAGAAAGTTTTGCTGTCTTTGTGACCAACTAGAGTCCTGTCAAGAGTTTCACCTACCGTCTGCAGATTTAACCAAGGTTCCATTTGGTAACCAAGAATGTTAGTGTGCACCCTTACAAGCCCCATGTGGGTGGGTTTTAAAAGCCAACCGCCTACCGCTGCCAACCGGCATACCGGAGTGAAAAAAAGGCGCTAAAATGAGCATTGTTGAATTTAAGGATCGTAGATTTTCATACTACAAAACTAAACTATTCAATTTGACGGAATTTTTGTTGACGTCAATAAATAGCAATAATCCCTTTTAAAAATAAAATGGGTTACACAATAAAACGTACAAAAACCTCTAGATTATTTTTTAATGATCACAACGACTGAACAAGGTCGTTTGTTTCAGAGTTACTTCCCTTAACTTTTCACTGTCGTCGGGAACATGGAGCATCAAGGCCAAGGAATTTCTTCCACCTATAAGAATTTTTCAAAATTATTCCTTGACGTAGACTATAAGTGGCTTTTAAAACCCACCCGCCCCATGTGACCTAATAAATGATGACAATGTAAATTGTTGAAACGTTGTAACGTCAGTTAACCTAAGGAGTAGAATACCATAAAATTGTATTCTGTTATTTAATGTGATCTCTACCCTTAAAAGTCACTTAAGGCTTATTTATGTTGTGGGTTCAACATTCAACAACTAGAAACCCCAGATCATTTTTATTCCCCACCCCCCAAAATAACAAGTGAGTGTTTTCTATCATAAGAATGTATTTATTATTTATACATTACTACATTTATAACTTGGAGAAAATTTTTATACAATTTATAGGAATTATTCCATCATTTATTGAGAACTTGATGTTTTGATGTTCTTACCAGGGTCTGAAACTGTTTCATTTGGCAATCCTCGGTAGATGTTGTAGAGCGATAGCATAACTTTCACAGAGGATGTTTGCTATATTTCAACAGTTAACTCTCATTTTGAATTGAAGAAAATAGAATCTTTTTATGTGATCACATCAAACGTCCAATATCATGTAGGTTTTCAGTGAAAATGGAGCTGGTTCCGATGTTTAAACTAAAAAGGAAATAAGGATGCTCGAATGAGGCAGATTGTGCTCAATATTCCCAGCCCCCTAAAATTTAAAATATCACGAATGAAATTATTGCAAAGTTCACAGATGTCTTTCAGAAGCACTGGCAGAGCAGTAAAAACATCGAGCTCTCAGATAAAAATAATTTCACACACTGCCAATTATATACAAACAATAAAAAGTTATTTGACTGATATTAACTACATTATTCACAATAAGTTATTTTTATATTCAGATGATTCTACAACACACCATGATATAAACTCTAGACATGGTTTTAAAACTTCTCAATGGTCTCTTTAACCTTCGTGTGTTTGCTAATATTTAATTTGTCCCCTCCCTCATCAGATCAAAAACATTTGCCCCATCTTCACAATAGTAAACTCATAACTCGGCCGTCAAGTTTTTACAGACACAAAATCACCATTGGGCATATGAATAAGAGATTTTTGGATGTGGGGATAATCCCTTTGCCAAATTTTTAAAGCTTGATACATGCCTACAATTTACTGTCGAGTATAAGGTGTACACAGAATCATCTGGATATAAGAATAGAACAGACCCTGATATATCTCATATTAATATTCTGATAGCATATATTATTATCATATACTACATATATATAGACATTCTTGTGGCCTCCACAATGGGTGTGCTTGATGACTGTTCTGGACATGTTCTACACGAGCCAGAACGCATAAAAATCATCGAAACGCACACATCACTTGTTATATCGCGTGCGGTTTTCATTTTCCATCCTTTTGATATAAAAAAATACATAAACATCTTTCAATACAATATTTAAAGTTGAAAATGAATATTTAGTTAGAATAAAACCTCATAAAAATATCTGAGGAATTTGAAATCACAACTTTGATGTTTTAAACAGCATTTAAAATGTTACTGATTCTTTTACTTTGAAATATGAGTTTTTTTTCAACAAAACAGCAAAAAAAAAGAATACGAAATTAAGAAAGATACAGTGGGATACACAAATAGAATAAAAGTGTATCATTAAGTGATACATTGTTGCTGGAGGTTTACATCAGCTTGTAGTTAAATTTCTATATTTGCTTATGCTTCTCAAACACTGTTTTTAAAATTTCCCAACTCTTGCAATCTTGTCCACATTCTAATCCCATTGATGATAACAAACTCGTTTGACTTTATCGCTTATTGTTTGCCTGTTTGTTGAATCATTCAATGTACCCGGGGTTGTAAGTATTAGAACAAAATTCAATCTAAAACTGTACAAGATGGAAAAAGTGATCCTATCCTATTCTATGGGTACCGTAAACAAATCACCAATATAATAATCTACTGCACATGCTTAAATATTTCAGAGCTTAAAGATAATGCAAAGCTGAATTCTGTATTTTTATAAGCTGTAAGAGCTTGTTTTAAATTATTCACTTGCTTGTAAGACAAAAATGCTTTGTCATGAAATTTCTGTTAAAGTAACTTAAAGTATTGAAATGAAATCCAATCATCAAGCAATTAGATAAAAATATCCAAAATTTTGAAGCAAAAATTAAATCATACAGATTAAAAAACAATTGAGGTTCTATCAAAATGAAAATGGAAGTTGAAATAACTCAAAACAAGTCTACAAGCTGTAAAAATATAGAAGTCGCTTTGCCAGTATCTTTAAATAATATACACTTATTCCACTGAATCCTACCTACAATATGTTTCAATTTTATCACAGTACATCAGGGAAATACAGGAGTATTCATGGAAAAATATCAGAATACATTTATTATTATTTTTAATCAGACTAAATATTCAGAAATATCAGAAAATGATATGGCAAATAAAATTTTCTTTTTTTAAGGCAAATAGCAAAATTCAACAGTTAAAATGAAATATCAACAATCAATAATTGATTTAATACTTAAAATTTCATGTTTTTGTTGCCATTTGGATTCTGAAAGCAGTGCTTAAACAAAATTTCAAAATTCCTCATTCTAAGGTTTTCTGTTTTTCACATTTGGTATCTTATTCTACGTAAAAAAAATATATTTAAAGCATTTAAAAATTTGAAAAATTCTGAAAAAGTATACATGCAGTGATAGAATCCAAACAGCAAAAAGCAAAGCAAGTTTACCCTTCAAAGCAACAAGCAAGCAATCTCCTCAATTTGCCTTAATCATCAATTTTGCAGTGAAGTTATTTTTGGAAGCTAAATTTTTTCTGCAGTGATGCTTGATAATTCATTAAACATATTAGTTTCGAAGGGGAATATTTCAATTCTGCAACAGAGTGTTTTGAGTCTTGCAGTAAATAATGCAGTCCTGCAGCAAATATTATAGTCCTGCAGTGAATAATTTAGTCCTGCAGTGAATAATTTAGTCCTGCAGCAAATAATGTACTTCTGCAGAAAAAGCTGACATCTGCAGTGAAGTAAAAATAACAGCACCATTAGAAAACTAAGTAATCTAAACTAAGATAATAATAATAATAATAATTATAGTGAAAAATTTATGCTTTATAGAATATTTATATATAATTTCTCTCTCTCACACATCACACACCCGTCATTATATACTACTAACGTAATTCACCTGTTTTCTATCCAACCAAAACTCAATGCGACATTTCAGTTTTTCAGTCAATGACCTTTTTGGCAATAACGAATCAATAACCAATTTTCAATCAAAGTTTTAATGGTGTAAAGCAAAACATAAATTTAATTTTTAGTCAAAACTAGTGTTATTTCTAGTACAAAACCAACATGAACCAAGTCTACTGCCATCAAAATCTCATAAATTTAGAATGTGCGAGTTTTCATTCAATTTTTAATGATGTGAATTACGTCTTAATATGGGCATCAGGGATTCTGTTTCCTTGATAGAATTGGCGATATATTTGAATATCTAACCTTACCAATGTTCAATGACTTTCAGCTAAGGGTACATTGCAGCTCTAATTGGCTGATAATCAACTCAATGTTCGAAACAGAAGCCCTGATATTTAAAAAATACTGCTTACAAATTTATCAAAAACATTCTACTGAATAGTGATAGATCATCGCTAATCAGAGTTACCTCCCATTGGTGCATCTGCATCCTCTGAAACATTGTCAAAAATTACATATCAACACAGTTTTTAGGCGTAGGAGCTCTCTGAAATCATCTGCTGGAAATTATAAGATGGGCAGGAAATATCCCTAATTTGTAAATGAACTCTTCTAACTAATATCATATTGATAGAATAAATGCATGTGCGGAATAGTTCAATATATGAATTAGGGGTGTGAAATTAATTACTGGCACACTATTTCTGCCCTGAATAAAAATTTCCTTTTTCTTGGAGACAAGCCCGTTTTCATGTTGTGCCCTAACTCAGCATTTCATCAAGAAAAGGGGATTTTGGTCCCCAACAGATACTCCAACGCCTAATTAGCAACGTTTACTCTGAGACCATATTTACAATCCTAATTTCTCATATTAATATATTTTCATTCATGCCATTCACTGTGTTTTGTCGAAAAAGTTTCAGAAGCAAATCTTGGACATTTCACTGTATATGTCTACTAGTCTTGAACATTTAGTCTCTCTTGTCAATACCCATTGAACTCGAAATCCTGGATAATTCAGGAATCTGATAGCTTTGAACATCAAGACTGATGCAATGGATATCTCAGTAGCACTGTCAACAACCAGTAGTTTCGAACATCAAGTTATATCTAATACTTGATCATTTAGTCTTTAACAAACAGAGTAGTCTCAATCATCCATTTAGACTAGTCTCAGACATCCAGTATTTATTCTATGTACACGATAATAAAATAGAAAGATATTATATAACAGTGGAGTGTCGTGATTTTAACGTTTCATCGCGACTTCGTCCAGTACCTTGTAAGGAACGGTATGGGTGTGAAGACTCACTCTCCATCGTGGAACCATAAAATTTTTCTTGATCCTCTCGCTGACGAGCGAATTCTTCTTCTAATTTCTGAAAAAAAGAACAACAATCTGACTTTAACAACTTTGTTATGAGGACATCCCTTTTCAGTAAGAAACCATTTTGAGAAGATAACAACTCCTTCAATCCTTTCTACCAGCTAGTCCTTGACATTGATCTTTCCGAAATTATTCGTACCCATTGACAGACTGAAATAGTAGAGGAAAGAACACTAACTCAAGGTCACCAGCCCTTCACTGCTCGAGACTAGAATCCACGACCACCATTTGTTCGACAGAAACAAGTAAATGATGTAACGTAACAATCTAAACGCTGTACTGGACTGCGCTACAAGTTACTCATTCAAATCTAGTTTAAACAGAACCAACCTGTTTTCGAGGAACAAGCTGGGCTTTCCATTCTCTCAATTCATTCGAATACCCTTCGTCTATCTCCTTTATTTTAGCAGTCTCCTGTTCCATCAACATCTTACGTTTCTCGGCCTGGAGTTGTTCCAACTCTCTCTGAGAGGTCTCGTTACGGAATACTAGCTCCTCCCACTGTTTTTTATGTTTCATGTCTTGTCTCTGTTGCTCAGCCTTCATTCTCTTCTTCTCATTTTCATCGAACTGAAAATCGTAAATCGTTAAAATTGTAGAGCCAAGCAAAGATTGTGCACTGATACATTTAAAATAAAGTAAGGATATTCATGTACATCTGGGCAAGATTCAAAACTCGTACACAACCAATATCTTCTCGCTTTAATGCCAAGTTTTGGGCGCACAATTCATTCTTACATGAAAATAAGTTAATCAAATTTTATAATACAACCCCAAATTTCATTTAGTTGTACCAAATATTTTTTGAACATTTGCCAGGTTAAGTTTGAATGCAGAAGGCAAATGTTTTCCTAAAAGATATATTTTGACTCCATTTTGTTAGTGCATGTGTCAAGTGGATATAAAATACACCCAAACAAATTCTGCCCATAAACCAACACTCTATTTCACCCTGAAAAGTCAATTTTCTGTGAACCAAGCCCTTTTTATGACAAATTTGAATAAACTTTGTGAAGTAAATATTCACTGTACCATTTATTACGTGGAGAGATTCAAGCAAATAACAATAGCTAATGTAGCAAGTATCTGCAAATAAATACCTGTCTTGACCATAAAATATCAAATTTAAATGTACTACTTCAAATGTTTGCCTGAACCAACAAATTTCAACTTTTTTCCCGGACCAATTTGTCAAACTTCAATGCACTTATATACCATTTTCTTTATAAGCTCAACACAGCTAATGCACCGAATGTTTTCAAGTACTTGGTTTTGACCACAAGATATCAAATATAAATGCACAGTGTCAAGTGTTTTCCTAATGCCAACATATTTCAAGTTTGTCAACTCAATGCAAGTACAGACAACATTCAATTCAAATTCAACATTGAGTCAAAAATGTTTTACAAAAACCAACAAATTTCAATTTTGATTAAACAAAAGTGACAACACAGTCCACATTTAATAATGCTTTTGCCAAAAAAAAACAACCTTCAACAATCATAAGTCAAGTGACAGAGTTCAAAGTCGATTTTTGTTGTTGCCAAAATCAATAACTTAGGTAAATCAGAAGTCAACAACTTTTTCTGCACTGAGCTAAACCTTTCCACCTTTTACTAACATCAGCAGTTAGGAAAAAGAGGCCTTCAGACTTCAAAGACAAACTGTTAAACGACAGAAAGAAAGTTAAATTATAATGAATGAGTCAACTTGTCCACCTTTTCTAAACAATATATTTCACAGGTAAATTGAGTCCTTCAAAAAAATTTCAATGTCTTTTTTGTCAAAATTCAGTTCAAGAAGTCATGCCAACCCCCAACTCTCTCCCTAACAACTATTGCAAGATTACTCAAAATCCCCACTACTATTCCAAACTCCTTTCCTACCTGTTTCTCCTCTTCCTCTAAGCCCCTCCCCTGACATTAATAAACCCTTTCCTACCTGACACCCTCCTTTCCCAAACCCCAACAATTATTGTATACCACCCCCTTTCTCTTACCTGTTTACCCTCACCCCAAATAATAACAAACCCCTCCCCACCTGTTCCTCTTATCCCCACCCCCACAATAATAACAAACCCCTCCTCTTACCTGTTTGATTTTCATCTTGTCTTCTTCAGGTGATCCAATCACACTCAATCGTAAACTCTGTTTAAACATCTGTGCTCTCGTCTTGGCCTCACTTCGTAATATTTTTGGCAATCGTTTTTTCTCCAGATGATGTTTGTTTAACATTTCTTCCTCTTTCACTGAGTTATATCTCTTCATTTGGTCGATTTCCTAAAATTGGACAGAAAAGAGGTTTATTACTAGAAGAATATCATTCAAATTAGGATTACAACCCAGGGCTTTTTAGAGATATGAGGGACCTCTTACCCCCGAAAACAGCATGACAAAACTGTTAGTTGAAGGAATTCAAACAGTTAGTACAGCTTAAGGGTGAAGCAATACCCAGATAGACATACAATAAATGACCCCAATGATTAGCAGACTGGATAAAGAACACGTAACTCCCAACAAGCATAGGATCCAAACAACATGACAAGAGAGAGAGATCAAGGATAAAGGAAATAAGAAATGCCAAGCCTGATTCTATGAATTTTTCAGATGGTATCCTTTCCAGAAAAACTGGCAAATATTCAAAGGACAGTGGCTAACTGTTCTAAAGGGCCAGCCAAACGTTCTAAAAAGACAGCAAACTGTCATAAAAGGACATCCAACCATCTAACCATTCTAAAAGGACAGCCAACTGGTCTAAAGGACAGCCAACCGTTCTAAAAGGACAGCCAACCATCTGAATGTACCAAATGCACAGTCAGCCTTTCCAGAACCATTTTTTCAGATCAAATCAGACATGTGGACTCAATAATCACAGAATTTGACTTGGTATTTCTTATAAGTATATATAAATAAGAATTGTTAGTCATGATAGGGGAAGAAAAGCACCAAAACAATATACATATAGAGAAATAAAATTGATAAAGAACTTAAAGACAGTTGTAGATCAGAACAAGACATGTTACCACTTTTCCCTAACATGGATTGGCAAACAATGACAGGTTATGTTAAAAAATCCATTTCCAGACCGCCCACATGTTTGTCCCTTTCCTTGTTAAGGTGTGTCCAAAATTTTCCAACAATTATCTAAACTCTGTCTACCAACATGTTAGCCCTTTTCCTAATTTGGATCTTTTAAAGCAGAAAAACAAAAATCCAAGAGCAGGTCCTGCTTCAAGAGACAAAATTTGGGAACATACATGCCTAAATGTTTGCCTTGTTTTGTTAATTGGTGATATTTTAAGCAAAATTGTAAAAATTTCTTAAGGACAGGTCTAGATCCAACAGTAAAAGTTTTGGAATGATTTATGTTCCAATGAGATGATGAAGAGATGAGCAAAGTTAGAAAAAAGAAAGTGTGTTGGTGAATGACAAGAAAAATCTACTTACCTCCCAAGAAAAGAATCAATAGCTTTACTTACTGTTCACCATATACACCCGATATTATTTCTTATTGCATTTGTTTTAGATATACTTTTAAGGAGTTTTATAGAAAATGACAAGATGAAGATGGAGTTTTACACCCTACTTTTCTGCATCTGTTTGGGCTAATGAAGACAGGCAACACCTTACAGTGTGAAATGACAGAATTTTGGCAAAGACAGCAACATTAGCCTACTTCTGCCAATGACGACAGACAATGCTATCCAGTATGAAATGACTTAAATTTTGCCTACTCTTTTACAATTTCCAACTGTCAAGGAATCTTTAACATACACTGCCTGTAGCACGCTAGACCTCGAATTATTGCCCCATCTGAACAAATACTCTTTCATTGTCAGACCTGAATCACTGATAGTGGGAAACGGGGGTGGAAAATCAGAAGGTATTATCTCAACCTATGCCAGGATTGAACCCTGGATCTACATGTTAGCCAGCAAGTGTAAAACCCAAAGTTAGATAATGTTTAAATCAAGGCCCTAACTGTACTATGTACTATAGTCAGTGGATAATGTCAGGGCACCGCGTTCTAACTGAAATATTATCATCATCAATATATCTTTAACATATCCCTTGCCAATTGGGTTAACAGAATTACAATGGTGTATTATTTTTGGTAGCTGTTTTCATCATCATTGAGGCACAAACTAACATTTCATCATTTTATATTGAAAGAGTACTGTTAAGTGATTAGCAAGCCTTTAGGTAAAATCTTAATGGGATAGACATCTATGCCTAATGCAGCAAGATCTGCTACTGTTAATCTAAAGAGGCCATATATTCGCCAAAACTTCCAGATGGTATTGGTATCTATCATAAAGTTCTTCATAATTGGAAGGGTTTTAACACAAAGTTGGATCTCTATTATGACAAGTCTTGAATTGGTTTCGATTTAGTATAAATAATCAACTTCACAATAGTATAGTAATTGTCTCTGAAGACTTTAGAGAGTTTACAAGGTGTGGGGTGAATATTTAGTAACATATGAAATCAAATGGTATGGCTTATACTAATACAGAAAGAGGTCATATGGCAAGAACACTTCTCCTCTATAAGGGTGCAAGACCTGGAGTAGCTTATCAAGTTCTCAATAGTAATTGTCTCTGAAGAGTTTTCATGACTCTAGAGAGTTAACAAGGTTTGGTCTGGATATTTAGTAACATATGAGATGAAATGGTACAGCTAATAAATAGCTCTTACTAATAATGTTGTTAAAGAGTTTTTAACTTTTAGAGAGTTCACAAGGTGTGGTCTTGGTATCTCTATCAATAATAACGAGGTTTGTAGGTTAATTACCTATTAAGTTTAGTAGGTAAGTATTTGTACTAATTATGAATATAGGTATGGATGCTTAACGAGGTGAAAGTCGTTAGTAATTATCATAGAAGATGATTCTTATCATTATGATTTATCAGATCTATTTATCATTAGAACAGAACTGTCAGACAGCTGACAGAATCAGAAGTCCTATCAGATCTACTGTATATTTGCAGAGACAGTGCACAGTTTTTTGTCCTAGTAAGAGCTTGTTTAATCTGGGATGTGCATTATAGAAAGTGACAAATAATTTCGTAATTTTTCCCTAGTCAGATTGGACAACGACAGAATATTGTTATTTTGATATTAGTTATTACGTTAGCCGAATTATATCTTTGTACACCTTACTGTCTTCTACTTTCAGTTGCAGCTACGAACTTCTTGTTCACTTCTAATAAAAATACTTTTAAAAACATACCTACATAGACTTACCGTTTGTAAACAATTAAATTCTGATCATCTGGACATTGTTAGATGAAAGGAGAGGATGATTGTAATAAAAGGATGAATGAAAGGCTAGAAGTTAGTAGAATGAATAAAACAAAGATTAATATAAAACACAAACACAAGCAGAATGAAGAAGGGACAGGACAGAAAAGCTACCAAAAATCTGGCCATGCTTCTCAAAGTTTAGGGCTACTCAAAAAAATAACTCATCACTAAAGCATTTAAAAATTTTAAGACATTTTTGAGAAACATTGCAATACAAATCCACACCCCTGTGTTAAACAATACACCATAAATCCCTCTGTTATATGGTAAGGTACCCAAAACCTACATGTAATTTCTACCCAGAGAATACCTTTCATTAACAAGCACTGGCTTAAATTGCTAGGTTTATCTAGGGAAGTATCCCACAAGCAAAACAAGGGCCTAGGAAACGTTTAGCATGGACAAGAAACCTAATGGATGGGCGACAAAATGTAAACACACTCTTCTGACGAGGATCAGACCTCACAAAGTCACTAGGTTCTTCTACAGAATGCTATAACCATGGCAGGGTACATTTTGACAGACAACAAAAAACACCCCTAATCTAACCAATGAGCTCTTCCCATCATAAATATACTGCTTAATAAAGTATGCATGTGCAGAAGAGTTCAATAGAAAGTTGAGGGGTGTCAAATAGATGACTGACACACTATATCCAGCAACAACCCTATACTAGACATGTAATCCCAATTATATTGCACACAAGACAAGACAATCCCCTACTATCTTTGACAAAAACAGTATGCGTACATTTGGTAAACCAAAATCAAAAACAAGGGACAAAACCCAGAACCCAAACATATCTAACCCAAGGGTAAAAAATAAAAACCAAAAGCTCAAACCTTCTGATGTCTTGTTAACATTTGATGTCTTTTTAAGAAAAACATGTCTTTAAGTTGTCCCTTGGCTAGTTGATGTTTCTCATGAAGTTGTTCTTTTTCTAGTTCCCAGATAGCTGCCTCTCGTGCTGCAATTAAACAGGAATAACCAATTTATTTTGCCGCCACCCTGAGACTGTTTTTTTTTCAACTTGCCGTTAAGTCAACAAAGGACTTTTTAAATCCTTACTCTGAAGTTATCAGAAAAGTTGATTGCAGCATTTAAAAAGAAATATTCTAGACCAATGACAGAATCAAATAATCCAAAAGACATTACCTCTGAGAAGTTGTTGTTTTTGTTGTAAAAATTGACTTTCTAACATGGCTATCTTCTGACGATGTTGATCAGCCAACTGTTTCATATGTTTGTCCATTCTCTCTTGTTGGTTCTCCATAAAATTACGTTCCTGAAAAAAAAAATATTTTACATTTTTCATAGATTTCATAACTCATTTCAACACCTTTTTTGATATTTTGTATGTTTTTGATAACATCTGATGCTGCTCTGTGGCTGGTAATAACTCTGCATCCACTTCTGTATCTCTTTCAGAGAGTCCACATTGATAATAATGGTTTCTAGGTTTGTCAACTCCATATCTTTCAGAGAGCTGACATACCTCATCAAGTTTATTTGGTACAGTTATTTGACTTGTGGATCTACTCAAAGTTCCACAAATGAATTTTTTGATTTTAGATTCAGCCTTTTGTATCAAGCAGGAACACCTAACTTACCTTATCCGTCAGCTCTATTTCTTTGGCTTCCCTCCGTTTTTTAATGGCCTCTTTCTTCGTCTCTTTAGGTAACATGTCCAGTTCATGTTTAAACAATTTTAATTCTTGTTTCTGTTGTTCTTTGAACATTTTTAATTCTCGCTCCTGAAATAACACAAAGATTTTTTGGTGAGGGAGATAGCGGAAACACCCCAGACACATGAGCGGTCTTGGTCGGAGATTTTTGTCTCTGACTTGAGTCACCGACAGGTTTGATAATTGTCTCCGATAGTTTATCATCTGCAAAACAGGCTGTTATCATCCAATCAGATTCCTTTTCCTTTCAATTGCCCGTGATTATCGAAAAGGTGGAAAACGACCGACTGGAGATTTTTGTCTCCTCATTTGCCCGTGCCAGTTGTTGAAACTCAAGACAAGACACTAATCGTTGACAAAAGTCTCTGACCAAGACAGCTCATGTGACCACACCTTTAGCAAAATCTTCTTCTAATGTGCATATGCTACTGATACACAGGACATTGGTTTACTGTCCAATCCAAACTATTTCGACCCCTGACTGGATATTTTAATATAAAACATGTAAATGAAAAGATAAGGAATGGATTTTTGTTATATCAAACTTCAATATCCTATTCTTTTTCAATTTCAAACTGTCAACTCAAGATAGAAGCAAAAAACATTTACTCTGGTCAAAGTAGAAGTTAATCTAATTTTCTATCTTCACTAACAAGTTTTATGAGTGTTATCATTTATATTTTGTTTGAAGTTAAGATGAGAGTTAGAAACTGTTTGAAGTAAAATGATGGACAGGTAATTGGTTCTGTCATTTATAAATATAGTTAGTAACCACTGGCATATTTCATACATAATTTACTATTAAAGATTTAAATCTGATTCTAAGAAATATTAAGAATTGCTAAGTGACATCCTTCAAATTAACATCATAAACTTTACATCATAGTTGGAGTCTCAAGTATATAATGTTTAATTTTAATAACACTCAGTGTTTAAAGGGTTATGGATCTTTTGTGGGTCTCTATCATTCCTTACCTGTTCCCCCTTGATTTTTTTAGCAGCGTTTTTCATATCTTGTTGTTGTGCCAGCTCTGCTTTCTCTACTTGCTGTTTCTGCTGTTTAGTTAAAGTTTCCATATCTTGGTCATAATTCTTAACCATGTTCTGAAATAGAGAAATATCATGACGTTGATAACACATATATAGAATAATTATTAAAGTTCTCTAACTGACATATATGGTATTGTATGAGAGATAGTTAACTACAATCATTAAGACTGGTAGTCTAAACTTCCATGGATCAGAAGTAACCATTTTGTTGATTCACAGGAGATCTGAAGATTGGATTTTACTTCTGTTAATATGGGTAAATGAAATTGACATTATAAGCTCAGAATGTAACTATGTGGACTATAACATCCCTTCAATAAGTCCGTAAAGGCTAATTCATCCTTCTCTAAAAATATTATAATTTGATTAAGAACGCTGACACAAACTTTCTAGTGCTCAAAAACTTTCAGAAAGAGACATGAAAACACAATTATTATTATTAAATTAACATGTGTTACATTTGTCATTACGACCATCAAATCTTATAGTTCCTGAAAACTATTCTTTAATAGAACTTCAAAACTAAATGGCAATTCTAAAAAGTTAGATTTATAATAGTTAAAAAAAGAGAATTTTCAGGAATTAGCATCTGTGAGAAGGCTTGATGAAGTGGAAGGAAGAAAAATCTCTTTGTGCTTCTATGACTTCTTATACAACCATTATTTTAAGCCCTAATTAAATCAACATTCAAAGGGTTAAGGAAGGTCCTCGATCAATTCGTTGTCATTAAAATCTCATTAACGTCAGGAAGAATTCAATTGGTTTAAAAACATCCAACCTTTGTATTATCAAGGACAATTAAATTCAGAAAATTTTCTTTTTCTTTGAAGAATTTATCAGTTGAGTGAGAGAAACCAGGAGTGTTGATTTGTCTCTATTTTCCAGACATGTTTGGAAGGGCAGCTCAAATGTCAAAACAAGGTGTTTACATCAAATATAGAGATTAAAAATTAACTTAGACAAGCTTTAGAGAGATTTAATTGTATAGTTGTAAGGTTATTTGAAAGATAGAACTAAGTTTCAATCTGGAGAAGTTTCATGGAAACTAAATCAGATTTGAAATTTGAAAGAACATTTTTTGAATTTTTCCAATTTGCAAATGATATATGAGAGAGGGAGAGTAGAATTAAGCGGTCTCATTGGAATGGAGGTAAGAAGTTAGCCATGAACCACTAGCTTTCATCCATTGAAAAATTAAAAAAATTAAATTCTTCCTTAAAGTTTTAGTAACTTAAACTAAGTTTCAAAGATTAAAAAAATAAGTCAAAAAGATAAGTAAGTGTGACCATTTTTCATTTGTTAATTACCTACTCCGATTTCCAGGATTGGTTGGTCTTGGTCAATTTGTCCTTTTATTTCATTTTTTTGTTATATTTTAATGTTTAATTCAGCTAGGTTCCCTTATACTCAGTTTTACTGTATTTTTCACTAAAGGGAGATAATCATGTTGAAATTCACCTTTAGGTAAGTGGGCCAAGCATGGGTCGTATTTATTTCCATTTTATTATATGTTCACAATATGCTACAAGTCATTAGCTTTCATATGATATGCATTTTAATAGGGTAGGGCTTGGCTTCGTATTTTTAATGTATTATTTTAACTCATAAGAGTACCAGGCAAGTCGGTTTATGGGGCACTCAAAATGTATAAATAGAGTTTAATTTCTTTCATTCGAGGAACTCTGTCATATGAATTCACAGAAACACTGAGACTCCAGAACACAGAAGTCTGAAGGAACAGGTTCCCTATGTTAGTAGAGAGGCTTACATAGTAAGAGGAGATTAGGGAGATTTTGAATGAAAGATACTAGGTGTTAGTATCCTTATCTACTGTACTGATACCCGTTTCCGCTCGGCGGGTACTCAACTTTGTTGGAATAAAGTATATTTTGTTGTCAAGTGTGAATTATATATGTCTCTTTGTCCTATATCTTGGTGTCTGCCGGTAACATAAGGCTTAAACTAAGCGAATCCATGGCATTGTTATTCAGAATATTCTTTTAATTTTTTACAGAGAGGTGAAAATGTTAAAAAGATAAGCAAAGCTACAACAATGCCCACTGAGAGTAAAATATTACAGAAATTATGGTTGAAAGGTTTTTAAAACTCAGAAAATATTATTGCACAAACACATTTCAACATTTCACATCTTTGTATCAAAGTTTGAGTAGGCTGACAGAACAAAAGTATTGTCAAATATTGACAAAATTTGTGAAATATTTTATAAATCATAATTCTCATGTGGAAGTTTTGAGATTAAAAATTGAAAAGCAAAGTTCAAAATCATATTTCATCATTTCACTTCAAAATTTAAAAAAATATTTTTCAAAAATTCAAATTTGTGTAGGTTGGAATCACGATGTCTCATTAATTATCAGAGTTAAAATGCCCCACCCACAAGAAATCAATGTGTAGAATATAAATCTCGCATGAAAGTTTGAAAATTTTTAATTATCATTAAACCATTTCATTACAATATATAAAATCAAATAGAGGTTTTCAAAAATTTGAAATTTGCGTAGGTTAGAATCACAATATGTCATTAAATCATCAATCATAAAAATTCAAAAATTTGTGTGGGTTGGAATCACGTCTCATTAATTGTAAGAGCTGAAATACCACAGCAACCATAGACTCATCTTTACAATGTCAAGCTATTATAAACTTCTGTCTTATACCTTGAATGTAATAGTCATCTTTCTTGTATTACGAACTGCAGCAATTTGATTGGATTGTACACCAGTGAATACAGCCAATTAGAACCCTCTACAGAAAGGCTGTATTCATTATGGCTTTGTTTTCGGACTTTCTGTCAAGGATTCTGATTAGCTGTAATCTCTAACATACAATCCAATCAAAGCGCTTCATTTACAAGAGAGGTGATTATTACAGTCAAGGTATAAGATGAAGTTTGTAATAACTTGATATCAGAGACTATTGTGTAGAATATTGTCTATAAATCTGCTGGTTTTCTATGACAGGAAAACAATCTAAAGAGTTGAACATGACACCTTGTTGTAATTTTTTATCACTTGAAAAACTCAGAGCTGTCTATCAAACAATATAAATTGATACTTTCAGTTTTTCAGCAGACCTGAGTTTGATAAGAAAAATATTATAAAGTGTTTAGAAGGACAGATCTGTTAATATCAAGGCACTAATTCGTAACATTACAGAAGGGACCTGGGTTCAGTTTTTCATAAAAAATCTCATGAGAATTAATCATAAGTGGAAATCTACATTGAGAAATATTCAAATTCTGACAAAATTGATCGTAGGATATTTTACGGAGCAGGACCCCAGCTCTAAATCAATCTGTATGTACATTGGCCAATAGAAAGTCTTTACACTCTCCATTTTCGACCAATCAATCCTCAATCCATGTACAATATTCATTCTCAATTGGTAAGAACAATAATGGTTTTCTAACTCAGTGACATTGCTACGCCTGAACTGGAGATGGTTTGGCTTTGCACTAAATCCCCTCATCCATTTTTCAAATTTATCATTAATTCTATCATTTCACGTAGACAAAAAATTGTCCATGAGGTCATCATGAAATTCAGTGACCCCTAATTAACCGTCTCTTACTGATTCTTAGAATTGCCACTGTTGTCAATTTCTTGTCCAAATTCAAATCATTTAAATGTCCTTACCTGCATGTCAGTTTCAAATTTTCTATCTTGTGCATCACGAGCGACATGAGCTTTGTACATCAGATCCTGATATTGTTTATGTTCCTGCTTCTGTAGCAACTTTAACTCTCGGAGATCTTGTTTTCTGAAAAAAGAAGAATTCATTTTTAAGTTTGTTTGATAATTAATGGTGGCAATTTCCAATATCTAATTCTAGTTCAATATATATTTAAATTAAGAATGGTGTATATTGGTCAGTGTTATATTTAACTTGAGTGAATGTGTGTTGATTGTTGTTTTGTGTTTATTTTCATATTTGTTCAATAGAAGTATTTATGTCTTTCAATGGCCCTACCAGAGCTGATATAGAGGATCTTAGATAATTGCTAATGTAATATGAAATTTATGAAATAAGTTGCTAGATTTAATATAACCTGAATTTTATATTACCAGACTGTCATTATACCAGACACAAATTATAATAGATGATTATTATGTAACTACAATGGTTTTTTATACTGTGATAACATCGTATTTTTATGGATTGTGAAATTGGAATCATATTCAGGATGAAAAGTGCAGGAAACTGTTACACAAATGTTTTCTCTTCAATTGTTCATTGTATGTTGATGGATTGTGAATTGGCATTATATTCTGGAAGACTTTTCAGGAGTTTATACCAACTATGATTGTCAAATATCTAAAGAAACTGGAAGTAGGGATCAGAAAGAAGGAGATGGTAAACTATAAACTTCTTAATTTCGATTATAGATTATAGATTAATGATGAAGGCTAATTAAAAACCTTATTTCTTAATAAAATATATATCAATATTCTTACTCTCCGAATATAATTCTCCAAAACATTTCAGACTAATCATAAATCACGAAATTATATAACACTGTCTGTTATAACAGCAGCTAATTATCTGGCGCTGTAATCCGCCTGGCAGGATTCCTGATTATGCAGTTATATCATTCCTTCCAGCCAACATGGAATTATATCTTGTTATAACCCCACTACAGAGTCAGTTATATAACTGCAGAATTTTCAATTACACATTTTCTTTAAGTTTTTTTTAATTATGTGGCACTTTAATCCGCCTGGCAGGATTCCTGATTATCCAATTATGTCATTCTCCCCGGCCTGAAGGTCCAATATCATTACATATATTCTTATAACATCACTACAACCTTAATTATATCAACTCAGTATTTTTTAATTATTTTTAGCTTTAGGAATTACTTTCTTTTTGTAATCTGCTAATCACAATTCTTGATTATCCATTACATCATTCCCTTTAGCCTACATGGAATTATATCTTGTTTTTGGAATAATTTTCCAACTGTAACATGTTAATTTCAAATCATCCAGTTAAATTATCTCCTACAGTAGAGAACTTCAAAATCATTAAATCTACTTCGGAATTCAGTTTCATAACCCCTAGAGTTTCAAAAACACATTTTTTGAGTTTTTTTTAACTGAAATCTGCTAGATGATATTCCCTATTATCCAGTTACATTCTTCTCTTCACTTGAGAATTCAGTTGTATATAAGCACAGGATTTTTAGAGTTTTTTGTTATTTCACATTATGTAATGTTCCATTATACCAATCTTTTAAGCTTAGAGTTTTAATATATAATATTACTTATAACATTGAAATATCATACACGATTTTAAATTGTAATCCTTCCAACAGGCTTTTTATTATCTGTTACAAAATCATTTCTATTGAATACTGAAATCTTTATAAATCATCTTTCTAGTTCTAGATTTCACACGTGTTTAAATTATAATCCAGACTTTACAGTAATCCTACAGAAATACATCTTCTACAAATGACATGATTCCATGCATCTTAAAGAACATCCATAGTGCAAATAAAGCAAAACCATTTCCAAATTTCTATCTCAATTATCATGTAGTAGATCATAGTTGGCACTCAAATTGTCAACATCCTCAGCCTGTGCTTTCTTAATTTCAATTTCCATTTCAATTACATATTGTTATTACAATCATTTCACTTAAAGTATATTTTTAACCAAGAATGATAATTTTCTTTGAAACATATTCAGTAATAATATTACTATTATAACATCACATTATCAGACCATGCTGTTTGAATAGTCACAGTTATATAACAGAGTATTAGGTACCGAATACCAAACCTTGGTACCATTGCCAGACGTCTGACTAATTGGAAACACATACCACTACATTGTTCTTATAATGGTTGGCTCACGTTCTTTTGAAACGTTCTCCAACAGGAAGTCATATAAAGCTGACAAATTCTCCCGAACAATTGTCACCCCATGTTTTTGTTGACATGCAGAAATTATGGCGTGACCGAAATGTTTTACCAAGAATCGCATGAGAAATCATTTCATGTTTACAAAGTTATAATTCTTTTTATAAAGTCACTGTTTCCTTTTGAAATGAAGTGATATTTAGGGGTAGAGATCACATTTGATAACAGAACACAATTTTATCATAAACTAATCCTGAGTAGAAATATGTACAATTAAACTCAAGAATAGTATATCATATAAATTGATGACGACAGTGTAAATTGTTGAAACATTGTGTACATTAAAACCTAGGAGTAGTATACCATATAAACTGGTGATAATAATGTAAATTGTTGAAATGTTGTGTACAATAAAACTCAGGAGTAGAATACCATATAAACTGGTGATAATAATGTAAATTGTTAAAACATTGTGTACAATAAAACTCAGGAGTAGTATACCATAAAATTGTGTTATATTATTAAATGTCAGCTATGTGGAGTCTCTTTTTTCATTTGCTAAAATCTTGAGAAAAAAAATTTGTGGTTTAAGAAAACTGTCCATACTTGAATCTCATTATAAAAATCTGAATTCCTAGAGCGAAATCTGGCTAATTTAGATCCACCATTATCATTCATTACATAACTATTGACAAGTCAATTTGATTAGTTTTTAACATTAGAGGATAGAGATGTGCGATTTGACTTTAAAGCTCTACTGATTTTGATATGGAGCCACATGTATTAATCTCACCTATTTCTTTGGAGGATGTCTGGTGTATCCATACATGAGTAACTTCAGAAAGACTGATGCAAGGTATGGTCAACAAATGCTATAAATTGGGTTTAATTACAGAAATTTAAATAACAAATGAAATTAAATGAAGATAAACAATGAAATCGTATTTTCTGTCCTACTGCCCGTTTCTAATGATGGAAACTGGCTACACAATGCAGTGGGCAGTGAGAGAAATATTGGGAAAATTTAAAAACATGCAATATTGAAAGAATTGAGTCCTACTGTACATGCTTAATCAGCAGAATTGATTTTTACGGTATTGCACACCTCCACTCCTCAATTCTGTTCTGTCATTGACTATAATTGAACAGGGAGTTGATTGAATGAGCTATCAGCATCACAGTTGACCTCTGATGACCTTTACTGATCACCCCTAATCAATTCCAAATCGTCTTCGTATCAAACCTGCTACGAGTCATCTTGAATGACTCATCGAAACAATTTAACGTTAACGAGGGTTCAGGCAACAGGTCAAAATGTCTCTAGACTGAATTTGTCATTCTTTAAAATTCTTCAGAAGCTTTCTCAGCAATTCTGGTGCTGGCATGTTGGTAAATTGGTTTATTTATAAGATTGATTCAAGTTGAATATTGTAAACTACGTTCAGGTCAACCACTGTAATGACTGGTAATCTATCCTTCCTTTCATACATGCCATGTTTGTATTGAAATGTCTATTGATGATTAAACAGAGAAAATATGAAATATGAAATGACTTGACATGTTGTTAGGGAAATGTCTCAAATTTGAATTTTGGCTGTTATGGTTCTATACGCTATTTAAAATTTGTCTTTAATATCATCATCATTCATTAGGACTATACACTGAAAACATACAAGTTGCAGTTTCAGAAATAAGCATCTTACGAGCACGAATTGATAAAACTAGAATCAGAGAGTATAGGTGTTAATCAATCATCTAGTCTTGTATATTGTAGAAGAATTGATTGTGGGGGTGGGGTTTGAAGGTGATGTATGGAGTCTGGCTTTTTAAGTTTTATTTTGTTATTTTGTAAATGGTTCTACCAATTTGGAAACAAAGCACAACTATGGTACCATCTTGAAATGTGTAAATATTGACAATTAATCATCTTATACTATTTCATCCTCTATTACCAATTTCTAAATATTTGATTCATTGAAAATGAACGTTTGTGGTCAAAGGATTGACTGCGGTCAAGGCCTGCACTTAAAGATCTTTGGACTTGTATGATGTGTCCATTTATCAAATTGTGCTGCCATTCTACTCTCTTAGTCAACGCTTGAAGATGGAATGTTTCTTAATGACTCTATTCATGTCTATAATTCAAGATGTAAATTCTGTGTGTATTCATGAAGAAGACATGCAATCTCTCCTACGGTTGATTACAAATCATACCATTACTAAGACAGGGTTGTTGATAGGGCAGTATTTGCCAGTCATGTCTGACTAGGACTAGATATTAATGGTATTTGATAACAATTTAAATTGAAATTCAGTCTGTTGAAACAGGTTCTGTCATTGCAGATACTAATGAAATTCTACAGAATCAAACACTACCAGTTTTCTAATCCTAACGGCATTCACCGGAATCAAACACTCCAAGTGTTCTAATCTGAATGAAATTCATCAGAATCAAACAGTGTGATATCAATCAATGAAATTAAAAGAGTAACAAAGAGTGATAAAGATTAAACAGTCATTTTTTATCAAAGGCATCTGATTTAAATATAACCTGAATCAAACACCCTGTCCTCTTCAGATCCTTATGGAATTCATCTGAATCAAACAGTCAGTGCGATATCACTAGAATCAGAATGTTAATTAATGAAATTAAGAGAGTAATAAAGGAGTAATAAGGAAACAAGACTACTTCAATACGTCTAGAGCCTCTACTTCAACCTAATATCTACGTCTGGCTCGCGGAGAGATTTCAATATGGTCTCATTAACAGTTGATATTTCTATGATATCTTCAACTCATACCCAATTAGTAATTCAGTCTCCCAAAATGGCTTCAATATTTAAGAGCACTTGTATGATTTGTCCTGTTAAGGATTGATATTATTAGAAGCCGTCAACATCAGCGATATTTAGTTATTTACGTTCATAATAGTACTAAGTTGACAAATCTGATAACAGCTAGTCAGATAGCTCTAATGATGGACCACCACGTACTACAAACTATGTGGCTTCTGAATTACCATGGTTGACGTTTTCAAACTAATATACATGTTTAAATTGGTACCAAATCCACAATCTGATAAAAACATTACTAAGTAAGCTAACCAGCACTTATAAATGAAGAGTCCTTGCTTCAAACCTAGGCCCGTGCTTTCTATGAGTTAAATTCTCATTTCACCTTAACTCTAATTTTAATTCAAGGTGACATCTATGTCATAAAACTACAGACATCTGATTGAAAATTGAAATACAAAGACGTAAGTGACCATTGAATTCATTTCCAGATCTTTTAGGAAGCATAGACAGTTAGGCGTTTTGAGCTTCTTATCTGGAAAAGGAATGAATCTGCAACCCATTTCCATGTCCGGATGTCTTACATCCCTGGTAGTGAAGCAAATTGATGTTATCAGAGTTCCCAATTGTGTAGAAGCAGGGTTGACATCTTATCACAAGTTGAAGACAAGACTTGCTGACTGTATCAACCAGATCAAGTCCACTGATATTTTAACATTAAGAAGTTAATGAAAGAAAGAAGAGCAGAAAGTCAATTTATTTGTAAGGTGTGAAATTGTTACATAAAGTGTCACATTGTTGATTGGTTGGTTTAAAACATCAAACCTATTGTAGAGTTGAGTTGTAGAAGTGAGGCATTCTTCACCCACCATTAATAAATGCACATTGCATGTTTTATCAGCACCCAGCATGTGTCTGTCATGTAGACACCAGTCCATGTCAATATTGTTAGTCTAACTGTTATAATAACATTAAAACAATACAAGGTGATTAGGTTTACTTTCTCTCTGACATGCTGGTTTTATAAAACGTGTTTCGTTCATTAAATATTTAAATTAACAGTTTTATCATTGATTGAATGGATGAAAATTTCTTGACAATGGAATAGATATATAATATTTCTCAGTATATATTATATTGATGACAATCTTATGATAGTTTCATTAATTATTAACAAAATTATTTTCTAAGGTGAATGGAAATATCATAGAATTACTTAACATTGAAATAGATATCATATCTTCAATAATCAATAATCAATAATTTTATTGATATTATGACGTTAATAAGTTGAAATTGTACAAATATGATGAATTATTCTGTTGAATCTTAGACTATAGAAAGGCAGTTCTGTATCCAGTATATCTGTATTATGAGAACGCTGAAAAGGGTCTCCTATTCCAGGTTGTTGAAATAAGATCTAACAATATTTGAATATGATTGTTTTTGGAAGGAATTGTATCTGGAATGTTTGTCCTATTCCAGGTTGTTCTAGTTGTTTATATAAACTATGAAGAAATGTGACCTATTTTATAAGACCTATCAATGTTTGTCAGGTATTCTCAATCAATATATTGATATTGGCATACCTTTCATTGTAATCATATCTAGGTAAAGCCTAGGTTAATACTGTACTTTAATATCACATCACGTCAGGCTCTTTTCATATTTCCCAATAGGCACCATTTTCTTTACTTTGTTTTATCGTGGAATTTCACCAAACAATACTATTATATACATTCTCAAGGACAGTATTAGAAGCTCTGGGATTTATAACTCTGTCTTTTTAATTGTAATGCAATGAATGGTCACTCTTTCTGAACACCTGCTGGAATTTAAATCATCTGGGTTTATCAAATGGGTGTTAATTTGGCATCCCTTTCGAAGAATCCTTCACAGCTTATAATGTTATTTGGTTCTTCTTGTTCGACACACAATATTAAAAATGTGGCTTAGATTGGAGTATTAGCTTTTGGACTTTGATATCAGAAATTCCATTTGAAGAAAGCCAATATGGATAAAAAATATCAGTGGAAAAACAAATGAAGTATGAAGACCACTAAAAGGAAAATAATTTTATTATAGTTTCCAAAGTTTCAACCATTAAACAAACCTAAACTTTTATAAATTATAAATCAACCTGCAATTAAAAAACCTTTTAACTTATTTATTTCTCTTCATAAACTTTTTCAATGTTAGACCTGCAGAGATCTACAGAATTAAAAACCAGTATTTTTCAAGATATAGTATTGGAAAAGTTGAAATGACTATGTATTATGCCAATTGTCTACTATGGTTGACTATTTAATCTCACAACTATTGCTTGCAGAAAAGAATCCTTTTCTTTTAAAATAGTGAGGCTTGTTTTTAAAATAATCAGGCTTGTTTTTAAATAGTGAGGCTTCTTTTAAAATAATGAGGTTTGTTTTTAAATAGTGTTATTAATTATAAAAATAGTATGTTTTGTTACCCTGCCAATTAAATTCAAGATCTATTTAAAATTAAAACTTAATGATGTATACTTTATAGTTTCTATAAATAAAAACTTGACTTACATCAAAACAGTCGTGACATTAACACAACATGTTAATCCTCTCTTTTAAAACTCTGGATATAAACTCGAGATATGGGTGGAGAGCTGTAATAGGGGAGACTTTTGAAAGCATTAGAGTCAACACCATACAGGATTCCCCTTAGATTTTTGATGATGAGCATTCAATTCAATAAAAGAAGTTTTTGCTTTTTTCTTATAAATATTGTGGCATTTTCTTTATGTAAAATCCTCTATACCTAATTTGTTTACACAACATTCAAAAAAAGATATTTGCAATTTCAAATGTGTTCATTCAGGAAAATAGACAAGATTTGTAAAAGATCGATTTTATGTAATCAAAAAATAAATAAAATGCAGTTGAGATAACAACATATGTTAGACAACTGATAGTAAATTTTTAATCCACCTCAATATTTGATAAAAAACATTATGACCTTACAAGAACTATGAAAATCATTTTTATAAAATCGATATGAATTTGGAATTAAGTAGAAGTTTTTAGAACATAATTTACACCAATTTTGATATAAAAATGTTTAACAGATAAGTAACTTGTTATAAAATGTCGTAGATAGACCGAGGAACCTTTAAAAAATGATAAAATTCAATAAAAATCACATTCCATTCAATCCTGGCATTGGCAAGTCTTCAAAATCAATATTCTCTTGTCTAGGAGAAGAATTTAAACTTTTATACAGTTTTATATTAGTCATATTGTACAACAAAATATTAAATTAGTGCTATGTTGTACAAAAAAATATTAAATTAGTCCTATATTGTACAACAAAATATTAAATTAGTCCTATATTGTACAACAGAAATAGTATATTAGTCCTACATTGTACAACATTAGTCTAAATTAGTCCTATTTTGTACAACATTATTATTGTAAATTTCATTTTGAGCTTATTGCGTTGAAATGTTGAACTTAAGCCAAATTATTCAGGAAATACAAACAAACTGCCAAAAATTCTATTTTTTTAAACAACGTGAAGATTGCATTATTCTTAAGTTGATTATAATCTTTAAAATTATTTTTCACACTTTGTGCAAGCTATTACGTTGATACTGTTTTACGAGATATAAAAAAGACAATGTATTTGGGAAATGTAAGATGTTTGCCAACAAAGTCAGTTTTTTTTGACAATGCACAATGTAGGCTGAGTTGTGATGTAACATGTGCCAATATCTATTTTTGAGTGCACATTTGAATGCAATGTTTCATTTGATTTAACTTTCTTTGGAATCGTTTTACAATATAAGTCAACTTGCAATGTAATTTGGATCCAACAAGTCGGCTTTCTCCTTAATTCAAATCTATGATTACATGTTGTAATCACTTTTCTTTCTAATAGTTCAACAAAGGTCAACATTTTATAAAAAAGCAATTTTCTAATCTTTAAAGGAAGACAAAAACTTTTTTTGGAATCGTTCTGCAATGTGAGTAAACGTAAACACATGGAAGTTGGATTGGATCTGAAAATCTCCACATTTCCCTGCTATAATCACTATTATTATTATTATTATAGTTTTAGAAAGGTCAGTGACTGCTCAAAGACAAGACTATCATCAAATTCTTCTTCCTCTTTCAAAGATAGAATTCCATAACCAGAACATGATTATAGCATTACAGTTTAGATTTGGTTCACAGGAGACAAACAAGAAAACAACATTGAAATTACTACATTGTGATAATTTCTCTTGAGGGTGGGGGCAATCAGACTTGGCATGCCCTTCCAGAGGACCTGATGCCATTCTCTACCTAAGAACAGAATTTCAATATTTTTGGAAACCAAAAGAGAGTTTCATTTCAAAATTGTATGCATTTTGGTGACCTGAAAAAAAGTAGTTTTTCAACAACCCTGTGATTGGGTACAGAAAAAGTCATCTATCCTCATTTTTCCAGTAAACTAGGCTGCAGCTTGGTACAGATAACCTGTGAAAGATCCTTACAGAAAGATTTGGCCAAGGAATATATTTTTAACATCTAAATTTGATGTCTTTTGAATAAATACTACTTTCTTTCATCTCATTGATTTAAATCAGAGATTTACACCCCAAATTTACCTAAGAATTGCCATGTATCAGTCACCATTAAGTTGTTATTTACCTTCTAAATCTAAATATATTCAACCTTGTCAATAATTAAAATATTTAATATTTGTTGACTGTCATGATGAAAATAAACAAGATAAGATTATGGTACAGTATTAGGACTGGTAGTATTATAAATATTGTTTGTTTATTACAGATTGTTACATTGTTACACAAAGTTGTTAATTATTCAGGACATGTTGGTGTTGATAAGTTCTGGTTGCAAAATATTGATTTTTTAATGCATAATGTTATATATTTAAAAATGATATCAATTGACAACATAGAATACGTGCTCCATTATGAATAAAAATCAAAATCTGTACAAGCAAGACAATTCCATTAATCAAAATCTCGTCCAAAGAATGGCAAAATCGAGAGTAGAAGTTGTATAGTAGTGGACTCTTACAAAGAGAAGTATCATCAGGTGTTTTGAAAAGAGTAAGCTTGGGTTTCAGAGGTTCGGGAAATAATTTACACTAGTGAGTAGCATATGCATTTGCATTCACATATCTTCAGGTTGATTTGAACTCATGGTGCTTTAGTTAGAAATCACAATGACCTAAGGGAATATGAGCACAACTCTAGGCATGGACTTGGAGTTCCTGCTATGGAAATACAGTGAAGGTAAAGGTATGAGAGTGTAACCGAACCAGACTCTCAAAAGAAATGGTCATGGATTGAAGTTCCTCTTGCTTAATCATGATGTTATCTATAGGGTGATTTGAACCCCATGGCGCTGTAAGTAGAAATCACTATGACCTACCTGAGCATATAAATATTACAATAACTATCCAGTATAAACGTGATACGGGGTGGTAAGATCTTATTCTTCATGGAGGAATTTAATAAACTCTGATGATGGTTGGAATCCTCGTATCCTGGAGGTCCGAGTTGGTCCTCTAAATGTTCTATCGCCTTCGTTAAATCTGATTCCGAAACATTAAAAGTGTTGTAAATATCACGATCTGGATTTTCTTTCCATAAATCTGCCGCCACTTCCAGAATGAGTCTATATGACATGTCTTTACAAGAGATACACGAAGAAGAACAGGAAAGTTTACGTATTTTATCAGGAATGCTGTACGAACTACATGTACTACATGAGCTGGTTAAAGTCGAAAAGTTTGAAAAATTTGAAAAGTTTGACGAACTTTTCTCCATTTCTGGAGTTGATGGACTCTCCAAAATTGTTCCTTGATAAATCCAGCTTCCTCTAGGCGAGGATCGCGGAGTCTCCATCTGAGTCAAGGATACAGAATGTCCATTCACGATTCTAATAGGCATGTTATAGTTTGCCGGCATTTTGACAGAGTTTTTCACGAGTCCAATTTATAACTAGAAAATAAACAGAATTTTAAATTATTACACAGTTATATTTCACCTTTACAAACTTTGATAAACACTGAATAATATATAAAAACATTTGAATAATTTCAAGAAAATATTTTCAGCTTTTTTCACAATTCACATTATTTCATGGTTTCGAAATTCGAAAAACAAGATTTCACTGTTTCTAAAAACTACACTAAATCACTCATTTTCCTCCAAATCACACATTTAAATACCATTATTTCTTAGTTTATCAGCAAATTTAAAAAACTAATTGTACCATCACTAAATGACTAATGAATAATTCAGTTTCCAAAATCTTTCAAACACAAAATCACCTTATTTTCTCTAAAAACAGCATTTTAATCTAAAATCTGTAAAATATTCCAAAATTTCTATCAAATTTAAATAACTATCAGTTCATGACTAAATAACAGACTAATAAAACTCTGACTAGCTATTGCTCAGCTAATATCCTCTCTCTCTCTCTCTCTCTCTCTCTCTCTCTACTAGTATGAATACCAGACCAACCAACCGACTGACTGACTGACTGTTACCAAACCTAATCTAACGAACGAACGACATGTTAAAACAAACAATGCATCTCAATATTCTGAGAGGTTGTCTGGAACAGTTTGACCAGCGTACACGATGAACTTTACTTTGGCATTGAAAGCTGATAAATAAAGCTTCAATAGGTTTAGTATATACAAACACAAACATCGAGAGAAAATAAATACATAGCTTCAATATAAAATCTATAACTAAACATACCAACAAACACATAGAACTATCAGTACTAAAATACTTCATATACAAGTCTACTTGGAAATACCTGACATAATTACCCAAATCCAATTCAAATCACATGAAGATAATCGATTAAATGCACATGAAAATAAACCAAAATTGCATTATTCAAATCACAAGAAAAGCCATCAAATTCATTAAGTCAAGTGCAAATGACATAACACAGTTAGAGTCAAATTTATTGCATACTTGTAACATTCGAATTCAAGCAGAACACAACTAAACAACTACCTAATTAGTCTTGAGAGTCTCTTATAAATACACGACATATCTCTAGCATGGTGATAATATGTCTAGCTCAATCCCTAAAACACAACCCTACCACACCAAAACTCAAGCTTTTTTTAAATAAAAGTCTAAAATAATTCATAAGAAATCACACCATTGTAATCAATCAAAACTGTTTTTCTAACATTGTTGTTGACATTACATCTCCACCGATACCTGCATCATGAATGGGGGAAAATAACCGCATCATTGTAATTCCAATGCTAATCTGTCTTACTTAGCATATAACATCAAGAATTTAGTCCAAAGACCTTGTCACAAAATACAACTCTACTAAAATTTGTTGCAACAATGTATTGATCATACAATATTCTCTATCAAAACTTTATCTTACTTTTGACAGCTCATAATTCCAGAGTTTCCAAGACATAGTTTGAAGAACTAGTTGATTATACGTGTGGCTTATTCCAGTGAAGACAGACAATAATGTCCTCCAGGTAGAATTCAAATCAATAGAATCATTGATTTTTACCTTCTTAACTGAAGATTCAATCCGTCTGTCGTTTATTATCCTACTCTGTATTCATTAACCATTGTCAACACAACGTCAAACAGTATCGCAGCAAAAATTTTATAATTCTGAAATGAGGGAGTTTTACATCATATTTTCATTTTCATTTATGGCCCAGAAGTCTGTACCGGTACTTGAAAACTAATCTAAGATAATATCAAGATTTTAGACAGACAGCACTCTGATTGGATAATAAAACAAAATTTAAAATCGATTTGAGTAATTGACCAATTAGATGACAGGAACAATAAAATCAAGTTCAGTTTCCGAGAATCAGCACTTGAACACGATGTCAACTAAACACTAATAAATCTTTGTATTCTGGAATGATCACAGTTTAATATCCTAATACTATAATCCAAAAACCATCTTTATTTTAGTTTAAGAACTTCTACGGTACTTTTCCTTGTAATGAACAATTTTCAACAGAAATCGGTTTCTTTGATTTCTAAGTCCATCCATTTAGGACTCCTTTGATGTTAAAAATATTCAAAATTGCTTTCAAATCTCCCACTTTTCCTTTGGATTTCCTTCAAATCTAAATCACAAGAAAATAACTTAAATTTATAGAAAACAAAATCTTTACCTCAAGGTCTAGAAGCAGACAAAATAAAACCCTAAGTCCAAATCACCATCTAAAACTCAAATCCATGTGTTAATCAAGGCAGTAGACTTGAAATCTGTCCATATCATTGAAATGACTGACAGCACAGCTCAAATGTCTGAGAATCAAAATCTTTTGTCGTACGTCATAGATTGGTAAAAATATAAATTAACAGCCCTGATCCACATGCATCCCATATTACATTGACGTTTCCTTAAACATATGATTCATCTCGTCCAACGCTTGGACATCAAGTTCATTAACTAACGTCAACGTCAACAAGATAAAGCTAACGAGATTGAGTTGACCGATGTTAAAATGGCTGAAACAATGTTGAGATAAGTTGTAGTTGTAATTATAGTAATGTTCAATCTAATCGTGGGTCAACATAGATAATGACCTCTCTGGTACGGGGAGTTTATTCTAGCCTCTATTGTCATTATGAGATAAACTTTCAAACCAAGCAAGACTAGAACTAGTTTGACCTTGCTGGAATAGAATATTTATTGTAGTATTTAAATATAGATAAAATTTCAAACTAGTTTGAAGTCAAAAAGGAACCTAACTGAAACTATTGCCATTCTAGGTAAATTTTGAACCAAGCATGACAAAACATAAAGACCTGGGCTGGTTTGGAATTTGTAACTTGAACTTATGAAATTTTGAAATAATGATCCTTTTTTTAATGATTCTATCTTATATTTCATGGGGACATTTTCAGATTAAACCTTTCCATTAGTCTCTTTTCTAGAGTAATGAATTTGAAATATAAAGAAAACCCTATTTCCACTAACAAATGACATTTAATAACCCCTATGACATATCAGGGCTTGTCCACCATATTAATCAAACTCTTCTACGTCTCTTCAAAAACAAATGATGGACACGACCATCACGATACATCACTTTACAGATTGACATTAGAATCAAAAACTAATTTCCAGTCCGTCTGCTAATGGACAAGGAATCCCTGATAATTATAAAATACCACAAAATGGACATTGTCCGGATTGATTTCTATCAAAAATAACAAACGAGTGCCAAATTGATGGAATTATTTCGTTTACCATGAATACGAAAACTACGCAGTTCAGAAAAGATTTTCCTAGATAAAGACAAACAGGAATATAAAAAATTGACCAATCTTGAAGAGGAAAAGATGCTGGAAATAAACATTTTAGCAGCAAGACATTTCATTTTTGAGGATATTAAAATTAAAAAAAATCAAATTCTTCCTTAACGTTTTAGTAACTTAAACTAAGTTTCAAAGATTAAAAAAATAACAACCTTGTTATTCAACCTCATCAATTGACCTGAAGATCGAAGACGTAAACGATGTAACGTAAAAGAAATTCCTGGAACCAAGATGAATTCTGGTAAAAAATTGGCAGGAATCCAATGTAAGAACTATGTAGAACTTTGTATCAATAATAAACATCCTATAACATCATTGATAGACAATACCAATTAAATATTCTTACAAGCTCTCGTGTACAAGTCACAAAACATGCTGTCTTGGCAAAATTTCCCTCATTGCACAAAGCATGGCATTACCTGTCCTCATTAACCCAAACAGGTGGAGAAAAGTGGGACATAAAATTCCATGACATTTCTTAAGTCATTTTTTCAATAGTCAACTTTCAGTGCTACAAAATATTTGATTAATAGCATCGTTGACATACCTAGTTCCACAGTGGGGTCAGGTGTTTTGGTATGGGACATGCTGGCAGTAATCAGAACAGAATACCACATCAACAAACAACACCAACAACACCATCAACACCAACAACATCATCAACACCATCTGGTGTTTTCACATTCAAGATAAAACCATTTGTGACTAACCTCCCAACAAAACCTTCAATTTGTACTCCAAGACCTTTTTTTTCTTATCTTTGAACTCTAATCACCTTCCAAACTTCAAAATTCAATTCTGATCAAAACAATAGCGTGATTATTTCTTTTAAACTTACACGAAAAAATGTAATGAAATAGAGTTTCACATCTTTCTATCCTTCGCCTCTGGTAAAAATGTTTTTAGAACAACTTTGTTGTATTCCTGACTTTGATAACTTTTAACTATATTTCCTGAACAACTGAATATGTATGAATAACAGTCGATGACACATTGTGACATATTTTCTATGCTTACTGGATACTATGCATCAATACATCATTAACTGAATATATATCATAGAGAACATGACTATGTTAATATCTGATAATTATTCTATGCCTAGTTAGAATTGATTGATGATTCATCAAACTAGAAGCATAGTTAATCAATAAATCTGAAGCATATAGGAGAAAATATCAATATTTGTGTAATAGCATCATCTTGACAATGTCAAGCCAATCACAGGTTCTTTTTGAAAAGGAGAAAATATGTCACAGGTTAAACATGGAGAATTAAGTTCTAGGATTAATATGAAGACAAATCTACAAGAAAACCAGTGACCCAACTAGAAGCATAGTAATAACCACTGCTCTTTTTGCAAAGTATAAATGAAGAGCTATGAATATATGTATAGGTCTAGCATAGAGAATATAAATTCTAGGATGAATAAATGTAGCGAAATATATTGGAAAACCTGTACAATAATCACATTGTTAAATAAATC